GGGGGGGGGGGGGCACAGGTCGAAAACCCAGCAGAGTTGCCCTCTGCTGTTGCTGCTGCCTGCAAATGTTTGTATCATATTTCTTGCAGGGACTTCCCTGGTGGCGCAGTGGTTAAGAATCCGCCTGCCAATGCAGGGGACACGGGTTCGAGCCCTGGTCCGGGAAGGTCCCACGTGCCACGGAGCAACCAAGCCCGTGTGCCACAACTACCGAGCCTGCGCTCTAGAGCCGAGCCACAACTACTGAGCCCGTGTGCCCCAAGGACTGAAGCCCGCGCGCCTACAGCCCGTGCTCCACAACGAGAAGCCACTGCAATGAGAAGCCCGTGCACCACAACAAAGAGCAGCCCCCGCTCACCGCAACTGGAGAAAAGCCCGTGTACAGCAACGAAGACCCAACGCAGCCAAAAATAAATAAATTTATTAAAAAAAAAAAAGATATGTCCATGTCCTAGCCCCTGGAACCTGTGATTGTGACCTTATTTGGCAAAAGGATCTTTGCAGATATAACCAAGTTTAAGATCTCATGATGAGATGGTCCTGAACCCAAAGACAAGCATCCTTAGAATAAGAGAAGAGACCAACACAGGGGAGAGGCCAACTACATGTCATCTGCAAGAGCTGTACTTTAAATATAAAAATGCAAATGGAATAAGAGAAAAAGGATGAAAAACGTATGCCCTGCAAATGATAAGCATAAGGCTGGTAGAGCTGTTAATATCAGGCAAGACAGACTTCAACTGAAGGTATATTTATAAGAAACAAACAGGGATGTGCACGAGGATAAGAAGGTCAGTACATCAAGATGACGCATAATGATCCTATGTGTGCATTTAGTAATAGAGATTCAAGATATGTGATGCAAACATGATACAACTGGAGGAGAAAACAGACAAATCCACTCTCGCTGGAGATTTTAACACACTGCTCTCAGGAACTGATAGAACAAAGCAAACAAAAAATTAGCAAAGCTACAGAAGATTCGACACCATCAACCAGTGTGACCTGACATTACAGAACACTATGCCCAACAACAGCAGAATGTCCGTTCTTTTCAAGTGCACGTGGGGTGTTCATCAAGCTAGACCGTATGCTGGACCACAAGTTGGAAAAGGTTTAAATCACAGAAAATGTTCTCAGACCATGCCAAGATTAAATTAGATCTCAGGGACTTCCCTGGTGGTCCACTGGGTAAGACTGCGCTCCCAAAGCAGAGGGCCCGGGTTCAATCCCTGGTCGGGGAACTAGATCCCGCACGCGTGCCGCAACTAAGAGTTCACATGCCGCATCTAAGAAGGCTGCATGCCGCGTCTAAGGAATGTGCATGCTGCAAGTAAAGATCCTGCATGCTGCAACTAAGACCAGGTGCAGCTTAAATAAATAATGTTTCTTAAAAACCTCTAATTAATTGTTAAAAAATCAACAGCAATAATTACACAAAAATCTCCATATTAAAATTATCTTGGAAGTTAAACAACATACTTGCAAATAACCCATGGGTCTAAAAGAAAAAAAAAAAATCACAAGGGAAATTATAAAATATTTTCAGCTGTATGACAGTGAAAACACAACATCTCAAAATTTATGGGATGCAGCTAAAGCAGTGCTCAGAAGAAAA